CATTATATTTGAAGTAAGTTTCTTGTAGATAACATTTAGTTGGGTCATGTTTTATTTAATCCACTTCACCAATCTCTGTCTTTTAATTGTCTTATTTAGACCATTTACTGTAGCTTGCACATTCAATGTAATTGCTGAAAGGAATTAGGTCTCTTATTTTATTTTTTCCTCTCTCTGTGTTTTGTTTATGTTTTATTTTTCTTCCTTCCTGTGAGTTACTTAAACATTTGTTTAAAAATTCCATTTTTATGTATCTATACTCTTTGTGAGTATATCTCTTTGCACAGCCTTCTAGGTGGTTGCTCGAGATATGACATTATAAATGCATAACTTGTCAGTCTACTGGTGCTGATATCTTACCAGTTTGAATGAAATGTAGAAAGTTTACCTCCCTTTATACCCCTTTATTATTCCTCATTTACAAATGTCCTAAATATTTCTTCTGTATACATTGGGAACCACATCAGAAAATGATATATTTTTGCTTTAACCATCAGACATAATTTAGAAAACTCAAGAGAAAGAAATCTTATTGTATGTACCTATATTTTTACTTTTTAAGTTTTTCTTTTCTGATGCTTTAAGATCCTTTTTTAAAAAAAAATTCCTTTATATTTAGAGAACTTCTTTTAGCTGTTATTTTAATGTGGGTCTTCTGGTGCAAATTCTCTAGTTTTCTTCCATGTGAGAATGGCTTATTTCCCCTTTATTCCTGAGGGATGTTTTTGGTGGATATAGGATTCTGGATTGACAGTTTCCTTTTCTTTTGGCTCCTAAAAAACATTGTAACACTTCTAGTCTCCATGGTTTATTATGAGAAATCTGTTGTCATTCAAATTGGGGTTTTCCCCCTATAGGTAAGGTGCCATTTCTCTTTCACTGCTTTCAAGATTATTTTCTTTATCTTTAAATTTCAGAAGTTTAACTCTGATGCATTTTGCTGTAGATCTCATTGGGTTTATCCTGTTTAGTATTTACTCACTTTAGTAATATACATTTAAGTAATATACATTCACTTTGATACTATACGTTTATGTCTTTTGCCAAATTTGAAAAGTGATCAATCTTGATTTCTTCAAATAGTTTTTTTTAAGTTTCTTTTCAGCGTAACAGTATTCATTGTTTTTGCACCACACCCAGTGATCCATGCAATCCGTGCCCTCTCTAATACTCACCACCTGCTTCCCCCAACCTCCCACCCGCCGCCCCTTCAAATAGTTTTTTAGTCCCCCTTTCTCCTCTCTTTCTGCAATTCCAGTGTGTTGGATATTTTGTAATAGTTTCAGCAATTTCTGAGGCTCTGTTCTTTTCTACTCAGTCGGCTTTCTCAGTATTATTCAGATTGGATAGTTTCCATTATTCTCACTTCTGCTTCATTTATTTTTTTCCTTTATCCCTTCCATTCCACTAGTGAGCCCACACATTTAATTTTGTATTTCAGTTATTTCACTTTTCAATTCTAATATTTCCACCTGTTTTTTTCTTTACATCATCTATTTCTTTGCTGAGATTGTCTGTATTTTAGCTGAGACTTCCCATTTGCTCATTTGTTTGAGGCATGTTGATAATTGATCATTGCAGCCTTTTTATGATGACTGCTTTAAAATCCTTATCAAATGGTGGGTATCCATCCTTTCTGATGGCTGAGTAATATTCCTTTGTATGTATGAACCGCATCTTCTTTATCCATTCATCTGTTGAAGAATATCTTCGCTTCTTCCACAATCCTTATCAGATGATTTTAAGATCTGTCTCATCTCTATGTTAGCATCTGTTCCTTTTCTTCTCATTTAAGTTGACATTTTACTCATTCTTAGTAAGACAAGTGATTTTCTATTAAAACCTGGATGTTTTCATATTGTACTTCTGGATCCCACTTATATGTCTCTTAGTAGGCCTCCTCTGACAGTGCTATATAGGGAAGAGGAACACCACCTCATCACTGCCAAGTGGGGACTGAAGGCTAGGTTCCTCATTCAGCCTCTGTTGACACAGGTCAGGGAGATTCCTCATCACAGCTAGATGGGATGGGAACTCAGCCTTCTGCCCCACCCCCGACCCAGGCTCAGTGGGGAAAAACAGAACTCCAGGATCTCTATGTAGCCTCCACTATCACCACAGGGAATGTGTGTGTGGGGAGGGGGGATGTTGACACTCAATGAGGTGAAAGCTCTGCACCCTACTTGGCTTTCTCTGACACCATTTCAACATGAGTATTGGGCTCCTCATTACAGTCTCAAGAGGTTGAAAATCTACTTTCCCTACTCAGCCTTTGCCGGGGGTCAAGGGATTGTAGAGCCTCATTTTTTCCTTTAGTATTTGTGGGGAGTAAAGCACTTATCTAAATGTTCTCTGTTCCAATGGGGTACCCCATCCTGACCTTTTGGCCAGAGAGAGCAGGTTTTTCCTGAGACTTTTTTTATCTGCCCCTATCGTCATTTCTAGGTTTTCCCCTTCTTCATCGCCAAGTCTGAGATACAAAGCAAAAAGGAAACACAGAGTATAAGCTTCCTATAGCTGCTGTCAAATGTCCACAAACTTGCTGACCTCAAACTGTAGAGACGTGTTCTCATTCAGTTCTGGAACCACAAAGTCTGAAATCAAAGGTGTTGGCAGGACTGTGATCCCCACAGAGGCTCTAGGTGAGAATCTGTTCTTTTCTTTTTCCAGCCTCTGGTGGCTGCTGGCTTTGCTGGGCTGTGGCCATATCACTACCCTCTCTGCCTCTGTTATCGCACACCTTCTCTTCCATGATTCTCTGCTAAATCCTTCTCTGCCTCTCTCTTATAAGGATATCTGTCTTGGGTCTCTTAGACATCAGGGACTGGACTCCCCTCTCCCATCACAGAGGCCTACCTTGTGCCTATCCTTCCTAGCTTTCATTCATAAAAGCAAAGCAAATGGGTAGGGCAGGAAGAGTTCACTTTAAAAATTCAAAGCAACTTATAAAGTTTAGTAAAATATTATCAAAAGAATAAAGTATTATTTGAAATTACATAAAATAAAGCTACAAATAAAACAATTAGGTCATATAACCAAAAGATATTTTAAAAAGTAAGAACTTAGAAGCCAAACAAGTTTTAAATCAATAATTAAATAGCATTAGAGAGGTAAATTAAGTAAAAAATTTGAAAATATTAAAAAAATCTTGAGTAAATTAGCTAAAGCTGAATGTACACATATCCTATTATCCATGATTCCACTCTTAGCTGTATGCTCCACAAAAAATTAATGCATGTGTCTCCCTAGTCACACACATGCATATTTATTCTTAATATCTATTATTCTTTAGAAACTAAAAACTACCATAAATTTCATTATCAGTAGAATGAATAAATATAGTGTGGTATAATCACAAAATAGAATTCTACACAATCCTAAAGTGAGCTACAATTATACACAACATGAAAAAATTCAGAAATATGTTGAATGAAAGAAGCCAAAAACAAAAGAATATATACTGTATGATTCCATTTGTAAAAGCTCAACCAACAGGTCAAACTCAGCTAGGATGGTAGGATCTGGAGAGACACTCTATCTCTAACATGAAGGTGAGAGTTGCTATTTCATAGGTTATCATTTGTTATGATAACCAAATGAGAAAGTGAGGACAGCAAGCCCATGCAAGTCACCCACTCAGCCCTCAGTGACATTAGAGTTGCTAAACTGGATGCTTCTGCCTTCTCTCTTGCATGAAAATTTCACAACCTCTAACATGGCAGCTCTGCTCTCCCTTCTCTCTCAAGTCACTCAGGTGAATCTGAGGTTCTTATTTGTGTGTTTACTCTTTCTCTTTGCAAATCCTCTCTCTCGAGCCGCCATTATAAGTGTGCTGGTGGGTCTGGTCACTAAGGACGTTCTCACTGTTCATCTGCTCCCCATTTCTGGTCTAGTGTACACCTAATCTGCTCAACTATGAGTTACATAAGGGAAAACGCCATAGGTCTTATTCCTCTAGCAGTGAGCACTTAGGAGGCTCAGGAACTCTCTGTGAAGAAAAGAGATCACACAGCCAGCCCAGAATGCTGTCTTTGGAAAGCCCCACTTGTAAAGTTGGCCTTGTTTGAAGTGTGGGAACATGGATGGCAAACAGTTCCCTACTCTGATATAAAACTATCTCTAAGTGATGAGAGGACCTCATTGTGTCTATACTATTTATATAATGTGATTTATACTGAATACATGTTTTTCTTTCTGGGAGTCTGAAGCTTGGACACATCCTAGGCAGAGGCTGCCTATGTGTGCAGCTCCAGGGAAAACCCATGACACTGAGTCTTTAATGAGCTTCCCTGGGAAAAAACATTTCACACATGTTATCACAGCTCACTACTGGGGAATTAAGTGCATACCATCTGACTGCACCAGGAAAGGACTCTGGAAACCTGCACCTCATTCCCTGGAACTTCTCCACATTAGCCTTTTCCCTTTGCTGGTTTTATCTTATCCCCTTTCACTGTAATAAGTCATAGCTGTGAGTACAACTATGTGTTGAGTCCTGAGGGTCTTTCTACTGAGTTACTGGACTAGTGAACTTAGGGAATTTAGCCACACTCACAAAGATGTGTAAGTCACAGAGAGTATGGGGAAGAAACATAGCTCCTGCAAGCACAGGCCAGGGGTCAGAATGTGCCTGAATCACAACAAACCTCAGAGACATGCACTGAAGTAGAAAAACTCTGTTTCCCCCAAAGACTTAACATCCTTCTATTCAAATTGCAGCCACCCCCCTAAGGGCCACTGAATATGTGCATGAGTAAGTGTGTGTGTGTGAACATGTGAGCATGTACATGAATGTGAGTGTGTGACTGCATATGTGTGGTTATGCCTGTGCATGAGTGTGTTGTGAGTGTGCATGTACACATGTGTGAGTGTGCATGTGTGCACAAGTGTGAGCAGGTGTATGGAGACTCTGTTGAGGGGGTAGAGGCACTTAGAAGTCTAATAGAAAGTGCACAGTATGACCATCTAAGTTTTCATCAAATATCTTTGCACCAGTGCATTCAAGCCTCCAGACAAGAGTTGTTCCAGAGTTGGTAATAGTTCATCCAGGGCACGGTGTACACCAAAAAATCACAAATGAAACTCTGTGGAAGGAGAAAGAAAAGAGCTTTCAGGGAAATATTTTTTGAAGGTGAACAAAAAGCCCCTGCCCCCAACAAGCTTTTATCTGGGGGAATCTGGACCAGTCCCCATGTCTGCAGTCACATGGTTGGGCAGAGTGGGGTCAGACTGAACAGGGATGTCACCCTGGACACCCCCTGTCTAGTCACTTGGGACCCGGAACAGGTGCACCTGGAGCCTACAGCCCAACAGGATTCTGGGATGAAATCCAGGCAGGACAGCCTGTGGTAGCAGCATTGCCCACTGTCCTCCTGCTTCTGCACTCAGGAACAGAGTGTCCCTTGTGTCTACACCAGCTTGCAGGTGGTTGCACCAGGAGGGACTGGGAAAAGCCAGAAAAGATGAGCAGAGGTTGGAAGACAAGAAGGAAACTAGACAATTCCCAGGGACACAGAGAGTATGAGCCGAGACCAGAGCAAAGCCCCAGGGAAAGTAAACCGTTTCCACCTGAGGTCAGGGGCAGGACTGCCAGGGGAAGAGAATGGAGGCCTGCAGTCAGGGCAGCTCAGGGTGAAGAGACTGCCCAATCAGAGAACCTTCCTCCCACCTCTGGACACCTCCAATGGCATTGGGCAGCCTGAAAGCCCATATCCATACAGTTAGAAAAGCTGTCGATGTCCAAATACTTTTTAAAATTTTACTTTTCCCTCTTTGATCACAAGTCCCTGCTCAAATTACTATCACCACACACCTTTTTCAGCTTCTTTTTGCTTTGAATGGGGCATGAATTTCTTGTGCTGTTTCTTTTGCATTTGGTGCGGCTAATCTTCACAGATATCATATATTCCACTCCAGTTGTGAGCTACCGAGAAAGAGCGGCACGGTTAGTGTCGGCTCCCAGCATCCAGTTGCTGGACTTCTCCAGGAAAAGCTAGGCCATGAAGCCCCAGGACCTACACTCCCTGTTTCCAGAGCTCATACACTAAAAGCATGTCTCCCTCCTCTCCCAGAGGGAAGATGCATAGTATTAGCTGAAGCCCTTGGTCGGCCCTCAGCATGTGCAGAGTCCTTCCCCTTGCTCTGGGCTGCCTTCGCTTTTGCAGCCATAGAGGGCTTCTCACCTGTTTCCCTTGCATCCTCAGGATGAAGGACTGGCAAGGCATTGAGTTTGGTTGCCTGGAAGCCCCAGAATACCCCCATATCTATACACATGATCCCCAGAATGCATAGGGGTGCATCTTGTCCCTTGGCTTCACCCATGTCCTCCCTCCCTACTTTCCTTCCCAGCCAACCCGAAGGAAAGCAATTTAGCAACACAGCTAAAAAACAGAGGCGTAGAAACTGAATTGATTTGGGGCATTTGTTTCCCTCCTACCAGCACTGCACCCTTGAGCAAATGCCCAGCAGCCTCCCTTTCTTCAGCTACAGAGTCCTGATAATAATTGGGCCAGCTCAAGGAGTTGTTGCATGCGCTACAGAGAAGCATGTATTTTACTGAATGCACAAAGCAAATTTTAAAATAAACTATAAGGAATTATTAAGTGTTTTAACAAAGTGTGGGGACCATTACTCTGAAGCAGCTATGGAGATAGGAAAGCGATAGAACAGAAGACAGAAGAATTGTGCTCGAGTTCTGGCTTTACCCCTGCCAACTCTTTCTCCTTGTCCAAGCCCGGCCACCTCCCTGACTCAGTTTCCTCATCTAGAGAATGGGGAGAACAATGCCAATTTCCTCCTAGGCTGTACGCAAACAGTGAATGTGTAAACCATGGAGAACACACACTAGGGCTATTTCCAGCTGCTGGGCTCTGTCTTGTTTCATTCATGATCGAGTGCCAGGCTGTAAGTACTCTGAAGGCAGGGAGACTGGGAAAGCCCTTTGTGGCAGGACCCATACCTTGCAGTGGAACTCCAACAAATGCTTTGGGGATTCATGTCCTCTACTGGAAATGCCTGGGTCCCTCAAGTCAACACGTGGGAAAGAGAGCTCTACCCTGGGGAGGGGAGAAGCTCCTGGAAGTTCCCTGCTTCCTTGTCCCTTCATCAGGGTCAAACCAAAGGAGAGGGCTTTGTACTCTCCCTGGTGGTGGTAGAGGGAGAGAACGCCTACACTGCCCTCTCGAGGAAACTGCCCCCAGAAAAACTCAGGGTGGTTGCAGGAGAGGGAGGCTTGAGGGCATTATGGCCATCCTGGTCCCAGCATCTGCCACCTGAAGAACCTCAGGATGCAGGGCTCCTTTATCTTCATCAAAGGACAGTTCCATCCAGGTGTTGGCATCTTGCAGGGCTTTCGCACAGCATACTCCATAGATATGAAAAATCTAAAACACTGGCCATAAATTTTACTGACATTCCAGCGTGCAAAGTGTTTTTGTATTCATTATTAGACTGGATTGCTAGGTAATAAGAGGTATCATCATACTCATACAAATATTTTCATGAGTGCTGCTTCACTCTTATCCTGTCCACTTGCAGGTGAGGAAACAGGCCTGGAGAGTATGAATGGCTCTTGACATAGATCTCGCAATGAGAGGGACCTGGAACCTGGGTGCATATAGCACATCAGGCCCTCATCCTATACCCCTCTGTGAGGTATTAGGACACACACCATTATGCGGCGGAAGGACCTAGGTCCCCTGGCTTCCAAGGGGCACACACACTCTGTTCCTTTATCCATCTGAATGGCATTAATAGTTCATAAACTATTCTTCTAGAGTTAACTGTTAATGATAATGGACTGACTGCACAAGGCAGCACTCCTGGGAGTCTCAGATTTATCCTTGGGAACATGGACCTGGGAGAGCAAGCCAACTTGGCAAGAACTTTGGTCAATAGCCGCCACCTTGTGGCCAAGTCACCTCAGTGTTCATGGGCCACATGAGCCACCATCTTGGGGCAAGAGTATGTGACTGAAACAGGGACAGACTGATGTCCACACTATGATGTCAGGCCTGCTTTGTGTCACACTAACACTGCCTGCCCCTTTCTGTGCCCCAGCCTTGCTGGTTTCTCCTGTTTCCACTGCCTCCTGCCTCTCTCTTCTGGCCAGAGACCTTTACTCCTGTCATTTTTCCCCCAAAATCAGTTTAATTGAACTAAAATGTGCTCTTGCCTCTGCTCTAACTTACATATTGTTTACTATGTAAACTTGAAGGGAAGTTGGACCCACGAAAGTGGTTTTCAAACAACTTTTCTTTCCTTGTCATCTTCAATTGGTGTATTTCAAAGAAACTTTGTGTGCAAAACACATAAAAAGAGAGATGATCTGGTTGAAGTCTGTTCCTCACTCCCCCTTCTCCCTTTCGCCCAAAAATATGCCCTGTGCAATTCTGGATTCCTTTAGAATACAACTAGAAAGCTGAGACTTTACAGCCCTGGACACTGAAAGACTATGTTGAGGGAGAACCTACAGAAAATGTTTATATTTCACCAAAGTAGACTATTAAAGGAAACGAAGTCATCCTCATTGGCTGTCACTCTGGTAGGACTAATTTCAGAGCAAAAGGCAATTCTTTTCAAGAAAAAATAGTTGAGAACCTCAGAAACTGTTTTTACTTCAGACCAAGAGTAACAGAGTTAAGGTTTCATTCCAGTCATTCAGCAAACTTTTTGAAAGTATGGTAAAAGCAAGTCTGGGGTCCAAATCACTCCAAAGCATGCTCATCCCAAATGAAGCCTCCCCCCAACCTTGGTGAAACCATCACTTGGTTCTCTTTGGGAACCATACCGCGTCCCTGAATGTCCACGTGGACATTGCCCACATCCAGAGAAACTGAGGCACAAACCTGCATCTGACTTCGAAGTAGCTTGTCGACTTGAAATAAATAGGTGTCATTGCTAGCATTGTTGTAAGTTTCCATGAAGAACTGGAGCGTTGAATTCATATTTGCCTTGCTCATGGACTTCTCCTGGAAGCCTTCCCATCTTTGAAAATGACCTAGTCTGGCTGCCAGGACCAGGGCAGTCAACAGCCACAGAGGGTTCCTCCAGCATCCAACTCCCATCTTGCAGCCTCGGAAACCTCCTATCCACTGCACCTGCCAGGATGGGGTTGGAGTCAGACTGCAACACACTCACCCTCCCGCAGTGCCCCTTGCCCTGTAGGCTTGCCCAAGTTAAGCAGAGATTGAGACCTCAGCCTTTCAAGGCTCTGCCTCCAATCCGAGCAGAGGACCAACCCAGGAAATCTCCCTGCATGGGTGCTCAACTCTCTTTCAGGTCTGTACATCTTCCACACATTTATGATACCTACTTTGTTCTTCCATTATGCAGGCAAGTGTAATTTCTAAAAACCTGCAAGATGGACAAGACCCTCTCCCTGCCTTCATAACTATCAGGAAGAAAGCCCCCAGAACAGAGCTTTACAGTGCTATGTGGTAAGAAGTATATTGGACAGAGAAATGTCATTGGTGTGAACTGAAGACTTACAGAGGAAGTTGTATTTGAACTGGAATATGAGGAATCAGGATATGGAACAGGGTTTGATATATTCTACTTACCTATCGTGGGTTCTAACTGTCTAACCCAGCCATCAACTATTCCCTGTGCCTCCTTCAGAGTTGGTTCTCTTTACTCTCCTGCCTCCTTTATCACCACAGATTTCTGCTGGCTGGATCCCACTGTACCTGCAGGCCCTGGTACTAGCTCTTGCTATCTTGGTGTGACCCTAGTAGACCTTTGTGAGGTAATATTAGCTTCCCTGTGAGGGGGGAATAAACTCTGATCCTTATTCAGAAATTAATCCTGAAGACCCCTGAGGGTTAGGTATTGCTCATTTGGAGCAGGAAAAAATTCCCTTCAGCCCTATGGGGTCTCCGGTTGGGCCTAAGAATTAAACTAATAGAAGAAAAGCATACAGGTTTTATTGACAGTTTATATATGCATGGGAGGCATCACAAGAAAATGAGGATATGAAGAAGTGGCCAGAACAAAAAGCTTATATACCCTGTAGACAAAGAAACAGTAAATGTGTGAAGAATGGACAAGACAAGGGGTTCGGACTAGGAGTAAGTAATAAACGGTGGAGAAAAAACAAGGTTTGCTTATACAGACTTATCCCCCATCTCTGGGGATAAGGATGTCCTCCCTCTTCCTGGTACATGGAAGTTTCCTTTCACATGGGCAATTTGTCTTCTGTTTTCAGGGAAGAACGGCTCTGGGTAGGGGGTGGGGAATGATCAGAGTGTCCTCCCTGCTTCACCATTTTCTCAAACTCCTTAGGCTTAAGATCTTCAATGCACCGAAGTGCTGTATTTGGGGGTAACATGTCCTGAGCCCATCACCTGCATCCAGAAGCCTGCAATAGCTCCCCATTTTAAAAACTTTTAAGGTGGTATATTAAATGGGGTCCTGCCACAGAAAAAAAAGAATTAGTGGGACAATTAATGAAATGTGAATCAAGGCTGTAGATCAGTTCATAGCACTGCACCAATGTTAACTTCCTAGTTTTTACCGTTGCACTGTACTTACATGAGATGCTAACATTTGGGCAAGTGGGGTGAACATTTTTTTTTCTATTCTTGTACCCTTTTTGTAAGTCTGAAATTATTGTAAAATAAAGGTTAAATTTTTAAATTTTTTTGCTTAAATTCAATTTAGTTAACATACCCTGTATTATTAGTTTCAGGGATAGAATTCCCTTCAGCAGCCCTCAGTTTGTTTCCTAGAGTTGAGTCTCTTATGATCTGCCTCCCTCTATGTTTTCATCTTATTTTTTTAATTAAATTCAATTAGCCAACACATAATACATCCTTAGTTTCAGATGTAGTGTTCAACAATTCATCAGTTGCATGACACCCACTGCTCAGCACATCATATGCCTTCCGCAATCCCACCACCCTGTTACTCCATCCCCCATCCACATTCCCTCCAGCAACCTGTTTGTTTCCTATAGTTAATAGTCTATCATGGTTTTTCTCCCTCTCTGATGACTTCCCCTTCAGTTTTCCCTCCCTTCTCCTATGATCCTTTGTGCTATTTTTTATATTCCACATATGAGTGAAACTATATGTTTATCTTTCTCCGATTGACTTATTTCACATAACATAATACCCTCCAGTTCCATCTATGTTGATGTGAATGATAAGTATCCATCCTTCTTGATGGCTGAGTAATATTCCATTGCATATATAAACCACATCGTCTTTACCAATTCATCTTTTGAAGGACATCTTGGCTCCTTCCATAATTTGACTATTGTAGACATTGCTGCTATGAACATTGGGGTTCAGGTGCCCCTTCATCTCCCTACACCTGTATCTTTGGGGTATCTTAGTAGTGCAATTTCTGGGTTTTCATCTTATTTTATTTTTCTTTCCCTTCCCCTATGTTCATGTTTTGTTTCTTAAATTCCACAAAATAAAGGTTAAAATGTTCAAAAATAAATAGGACCTTAGTCTTCAGGAAGCAGCACACATGCAGCACCACCTTGCAATCTGAATCTCCTGGGTAAGAATAGGAAAACTACTAATCTTGGTTTGTGGTGGAGACTAAATCAGGTACCAAACAACCCGTTCCCAGGTCAGGCATCATCCAGAGCTCAGAAACATCCTCTAGGTGATTCTTCCATGACTCTGAATGTACACGCAGAAGCCCATGATCTGTCAGACCCCAACTGCCCAGGGACAAGATCACCCTCTAGTGTGAAAATCCTACTAGGACTTGTTACAACATCCTCCCTGACCCTCAAAGCCTGCCTTGTAGGACTTGTCCAGCTGATGGAAGTGGCTGCTTTGGAACAACCTGAGCCAGAGCTGCAGGAGCACCACTGTCACATAGATGCATAAGGATTCTGACTGATGTGCATACAGACTGGCCTGGAAACCTGAGATATACCCCGTGGACCTGAAGAAGGCAAAGTAATATTCAATGGGTCGTATTAGAAAATCTATGAAGATGGGGCCAAATACATAAAAAAAATGATCTACTTAAAGTAATAAGCAGTGTGGCTATATCCATAAAGTAAGGGAAAAATGAATTCCCAGTAATTTGTGTGGAATAAGAAAAAATATATAGACCATGGTTCTCCCCATACAATTAAACAGAAAAAGGGACCATATCTGTCACACCTGGAGTTCTTTGGCTTATGGTGGCATAACAATCTCTGCCCCTCTCCACATGGCCTTCTCATCTATCTCTTTGTCTCAAATCCCTCCCTCCTTTCTCTTAAGAATGCCAGTCATCCAATTTGGGACCTACCCTCAATCCAAGGTGATCTCATCTCGAGATCCTTAACTTAATTATGTCTGTGAAGACTCTATATCCAAATTAGTTCACATTCATGGGTACTAGGGGCTATGACTTGCACATATATTTTTGAGGAACACAATTCAACCCACTAACTTGTCCACAGAATATGAAGAAAATTGGGAGTACAAGTGTGTCCATGTATATTAGTTTCCTATGGTTTTGTAACAAATTCACATGAATTTAGTGGCTTAAAACCACAGAAATATATTGTCTTATAATTCTGGAGGCTAGAAATCTGAAGTCATTTTCACAAGACCAAAATCAAGATGTTGGTAGGGCTGTATTCCCTCCAGAGGCTTCAAGGGAAAATCTACTGGCTGCTAGCATCTCTTGGTTTCTGGCCACAACACTCCATCTCTGCTTCATATGCCCTCCTTCTCTTCTGTCTGCCTCCCTCCTATAAGGATATATGGATGGTATTTAAGGCCCACCCAAAAAATCCAGAATGATCTGCCCATCTCAAGATCTTGAACTTAATCACATCTGTAAAATCCTTCTTTACCACATAAGACAATGTTCACAAGTTCCAGGGGGCCATTACTCAGCCTACCACACCATGGATCAGGAAAAATAGGAAGAGTGATTATTTCCATGGAGGGAGGGTGACAGGGGCCCTGGTCATGTCCCTGGAGAAGGAAAAAGGAGAAACAAACACATCCATGGGAATAAGGGGAAATAGGAGGGCTCATCAATTCTGTGCTTAAAGGGAAAACAAGTATCCTGGTTATGTCTGTGGAATAAGTGAAAAATAGGAGACCTGATAAAATTCATGGAATAAAATGCCATCTCATACGCTGAAAAATAAAAATAAAATAAAATAAAATAAATTTTCTTCATTCTAAATTAAAAAAAAATTCATGGGATAAGTTGAAGATAGGGATCAACATTTACGCATGAATCAGAGGAAAAGTACAGGAGGATGGATGGTTTCCATAGTTGGAGGGGGAAATGGTGGTTTTGATTATGTCCATGGAACAAGGAGAAAATAAGATTCCAATAATGTTTGTGGTATGAGGGATAAGCATGGGGTATGGTTAAGATCATAGAATAAAGAGAAAATGAACAGGCTGATTATATCCAGAGTCAATTGTGAGAAAAGGCAGTAATATAAGGCCATAAAACGAAGGGAAATGAGGGACCCTGGTCATGTCCATGGAATATGGTGAAAATAAGGTGTCTAGCAGTGTCCATAAATTAAGAGAAAAATACTGAGCCTCATAAAATCCATAGAAAGGGAAAATATTAGGGCTGATATTTCCATTCAATGAGGAGAAAATACAGGGCTGGGTGTGCCTGTTTAATGTGGGGAAAGTTGGGGAATTGGTTGTGTCAGTGGAATAAGGGGACGAGCAGAGTGCTCTGGTCATATCTATGGAATAAAAGGAAATTAGGCAGCTTTGTTGTGTCCATAGAAAAAGAAATAGAGAGGATGGCTATGTCCATGTAGTAAGAGGAATATAGGGACCCTGGTTATGTCCATAGAATGTGAGAAAAACCCCTAGTTGTATACACGAAAGAAGAGAAAACAGGGGACTTGGCATGTCCATGCGTAAAGAGGAAAATAAGAGGTCTTATAGTGTCTGTGAAATAAGGAAAAGCATGAGGTCTGATTGCTTCCCAAGGAATAAAGGGAAAATAAGGGTCCTAGGTGTTCAGGAATAAAAAGAAAATTGGAAACATGGTCATGTCCATGGAATAAGGGGGAAACATATGGCCTGGTTAAGTCTATGAAAGTCTATAAGGAAGATGGGGGGTG